GCAGTCACTTGACAGATGCAAACTGCTTCCCAGGGGCACAGATCATTTCTGACATGAGAGAATATAAACTGAGGGCAAGTTGGAGAGGGACAGAAAAGCACCTGCACCACTGATGGCTAAGGATGAAAACACAAAAGCCTCTATTCCCTGTTCTCCGTGTCTCCCAAAGCTTCCTTTTAAGAGTTCTTTCTACACAATTTTCACAACTATCATATTAACAAACCATTTTTCAAATGTACAGGAGACTGACAATTTGGGAAGAAGAGGTCAATGGCAGCAACTGGTTGTTTCCATTTTGTCATCCAGGGGTGGCTGCAGTGAGCCTCCCACTATGGCAGGCAGATTTGAATGAGAGAGTCAAGAGAGACCATGCCACATGTGTTGTAACCCTTTCAGCTATTTACCAACTAGATAAGTCACTCCTCTCTTAGGAGAAATTAATGCAAGGGATTGGAAAGAAAGGCGAAGTTTTCTCCCCAAATAATCTCACAGGTTTTGTGAAGCCTGAAGTTTACACAATTTGGGTAGTACTCTTTACATAATACAAAATTACCAGTGTAAAATTTGGCAGGAGGCTAGCAGGGTCCTGAACATTTACTGAAATTCAAGTGTCACAACTTTATGATACAGCCTCCTCTGCTATAGCAAGAGAAGAAACACCTATTTTTAGGAACTTAGTTTTAAGGTTTTCCTGTGTATTTCAGGTAGGATGCTCTCCAGTGGAATTCAACTTGCACACAAAGCAACTTGAACTGGTTTCAATAATACAGAAGAGTAGTGGCTCACGTAAATGAAGACTCCAGTTGCTGGACAGGCTCTGTGGTTGGTGGACCTAGCCATCTTAACAATGTCATCAATGACCCAGTTTCTTTCCATCTTTCCACTGTGCTGTCTTCGGTATCTCTTTCATCTTAGGCGGTTCCCTTCAAGATTATGGCATGAATACCAGTAGCAGAAAGGACTACTAACTTCCTCTTTCCTATTAGAAGAGGAAAATTACCTAAATTACTGAGCAAAAATCTTGAGCTTCAAACCACAGCTTGTTTCAATCAAGCATCTGATTTGCTAAGGCCTAAACCTATGTGGTAAGAGAGACAAAGTAACTTTAAACTTCCTAGGCCAACCAGGGCCCGCCCCCATAGATAAGGACAAGGATATGTCTCATCCAAATCATGTACCTGCTACATAATGGAGGAGTAGAATTGAGGTGGAATGGAGGTTGATGAAACATACACAATACAAAATAGTAACCAAAGGGTAGAATCTGGACTAATGAACTAAACATACCAGAAGTTTTCAAAATATTTACTTGATTTATGCTACTGTACAAGCACCTACATGCAGTGCTTTTTTTTTTTAACTGGGGTGAACTCAGGGCCTTGGGCATGCTAAGCATACAGTCTACCACCGAGCTATACTTTCAGCCCAAGTACTAAATAATTATTGAAAGAATAAAGGAATTTGCTGCAAACGGATTAGAAACAGTACAGAGCATTAATTATAATCATTCCTGTGAAATGCAACTATATCAAAATACAAAGTTAGAACAACAAAAACATTTAGAAATTATAGGATGTGTCAAATTGAAATTAACCTTCCAAAACTGGTGATACAGAATGTTAAGGTGATCTGGCTGCAACATCTGTCACCCCACTGATCACCACAGTTGATATGGCTGATCTGGCAGGCTAGGCAGCTGTCCCCTTCCTTCCTCAGTGCTCCATGTGAGTCCCCCTGGGCTGCAGGCTCAGTGGAAGAGGACGACCACCCCTGATAGAGGAGGACGATTCCTCAATCAAGGGTATATGAGTAGCTGTGCTCCCTTGGTCGAACTTCCAAACAAGCTCTCAAAACTGGTACTACAGCTCAGTGGTAAAGCTTGTGTTTAGCACGTACAAGATACCTGGATTCAATCCCAGTGTCACAAAAGAGCAAAGTAACTTTCTAGTCAGAACTATATGTCTCATCAAGGAAAGTGGAAATAGGACAAAAGTGGCTCGAAGTGGCTTTTTCAAGGTGGCTCCTCAAGTTCTAACTTTAGGGATTTAGTAAGGCTTAAAAAATGTTTCACAGAGAAACAGAAAGGTAAGTGAAAAGTGAGGTACTTTGGTTTTATACTGAGAAACAACAATAAATGTCAGCCCTTTTTAGTTTTAGAGTACAGTATCGGTATACCTCAAGACAAAGATAATGATTTATCATATTTTTCTATCCAAAGAAAAACATAAAAGTAATTTCCTTTGTGTGGACAGAGCTACAAGAGGAAAAAAAATATATTATACTTTTGTATAACCTCTGATTTTCCATTGTTTACATCTCATATCTGGATTCCTTCCTAAAAAAATGGACAAAAATCGTTTTGAAATTCAAAATACACTCTAAATATACAAACACCATTCATAAGCTTATGCTAATTTGATACTTTTGTTTAAAATGTTTATTTTTCAAAATGAAACATTATATTTCTTGATGTTCTCGTACAAATTTTTGTATACAAAAATTGCAATAAATCAAGCCAGACCTGTTTTAGGTAACATAGCATTAGATATGGTACAGTTTGCTCAGGGTGGGGTGATCAGGTTGCAATGATTTTAAATCAAGGCTCCACCTTAGGAACCCAGGAATGTTAGGGAGGAGATCAGGAAGTCCACAGCTTGCCAAGAACTTCAGCTATTCTCATAAACAATTTGATTACTTATGCTGACTCCTGTATGCTGAACAGGTTATCCAAGTCTTAAACTTGATGCCTCTGTGCAGTATTTACATAAAATGGTATAATTTCAGAGAAGATTTAACTTACATTTTGTTTGAAAATAGAATCCACAGTATATAATAGGACTTTGAAAGTTACATACATAATTAAAGTTGTGCATAAGAATATACCAATTGATACATTTTCTGCCTAAAGAACCTGATTTTAGCTGGGTATGGTGGTTTACACCTGTAATCCCAGCACTCTAGGAGGCTGAGGCAGGGAGATCCTAAGTAAAACCCCAAGTGTGGGTAATTTAGTGAGATGCTTCTCAAAAAACAAAATTCTCCAAGGACGAGCTCAGTGTGAAGGCCCTGGGTTCAATCTCTAGAACTACAAAAAAGAAAAAAAAACTGATTTTGCCAGATTACTTAATCATCAATCCTCTAATAGGAAAAAACCCCCAGCAATCCTCACATAGTATTACACATGTTCCCAGAATGGCGCCCTGATCCTTACAATGGTGATTTTTTTTTTCTTTTTGAGACAGTGTCTCGCTATGCAGTTCAGGCTGGCCTTGAGCTCACTTTGTAGCCTAGGCTGGTCTCGAACTTGAAACGATCCTCCTGTTTCAGCCTGCTGAGTGTTGGGATTACAGGCGTGCGCCACCACACCCGGCCTTTTGAGACAAGGTCTCCGCCTAGAACTCACAGGCAATCCTCCTGCCTCAGCCTCCTAAATGCTGGGATTAATGCATGGGCCACGCGGCACCTTAAAATGGTTCTTAGTGCTCTATTAAAATCTCCTCTCCTCAACTGTTTGACTTCATCCATTTCTTTTTCCATTCTGTCTTCTGCTCCAGCTATATCAGCTCCTTTTTGTAGCTGAATATGCCATTACATTCTCAATTTTTCAAAAATTAAAGATCACACTTGATTCAGATTTACTTAATTTTTGCTAAAGGCTCTTTTGTTTTGGTCATATGAATGCTGTGTTTTTTTTTCCAAAGCATATTTACATGAATATAAATTATTTCCTCAGTTTTGGTTGCTACATATAGAGATATGAGCTAAAATTGTTGAACTTAAATACTTAACAAATTTACAGCATTTCACTTATTTTTAAAAAGATCAGGTTAAATATATGTATCTCCTCTAATACTTATCAATTCTTTATGGTAAAAACAAACTTTCAAAATCCTTTCAGCCTTGTGAAATATAGAATCACATTCTCACTTTGTAAGCCTCTGTACCGGCTGCTCCCTCTGCCTGGAACACAACTTCCTGGGCACTACAACGTTATCTCACGGCCTTTCACTCAGACTGCCTGCGTCTTTTCAAAAATGTCTGTCCTGCCCAGGCTATTTACACGCATAGCTCACCCTGCTGTCAACCTCCACACTCTATCCCCTGTGCTTTGATCTGCTCCCTAGCATTTACTTTCTAACGTCTTCTGTAATTTTCTTATATATTACATGTATTCCCCAGTTCTCATTTCCTAAGTTTCAAAAGGAAAGTGCTATAATATGGTTTTCTTGGTTTTTGTTCTTATTCCCAGTTTATCTTCATTGTCAGGTGAAATGTTTGGCATTTTGCAGGTCCACAGGAAAATTTTTAAAAAAATGAATGACTTTTTAAAAATGAGACTGAGTTTTGAGTTTCACTATGTTGCCCAGGCTGGCCCTGAACTCCTGGGCTCAAGAACTTCTCCTGCCTCAGCCTCTCCAGTAACTGAGATTGCAGATACGCTCAACCTCACCTCTCCAACCTTCTCTCTCTCTCTCTCTCTCCTCTCTCTCTCTCTCTCTCTCTCTCTCTCTCTCTCACACACACACACACACACACACACACACACACACACATACACACACACGGGGGGAGGGTGGAGCAGGAGAGAGACAAAAGAAAGAAGAGTAGAGAGAAGAGGTGCGAAGAGACACCCTGCATGGACGCCCCGGGGCACGGAGTGCAGGTCGACTGTTGGGAGAGCATTCAACGTTTAAACAAAGAATCAAAACTGCAGGTTAAGGGCTGTCTCAGTGCGGTGAATCAGAAAGTGGAACTCGGCGGGGAAGGTTTTCTGCTGCCACTGAGGTGATCGCTGAGCAGGCGACTTGTCCGTTCTGACGGGGGCCCCTCAGCACGCACTACCTGGGCGCTTCCCGCTTTTCCGGGGCAGGACGCTCTGCCCCGCCCGCGCGCTCCGCGCCGCACCGGCCGCAGCGGGGGCACGCGCAGCCACTGAAGACCCGGGCTCGGCGGCCGCCGCCCCGCCCGGAGTCGCTGCTTGTCCCTCGGCCCCCGTGACCCGCCTCACTTCGCGCAGCTCTGCGCGGAGGGAAGGAGCGGCACGTTACGTCTGAGGCTCGAAGTCCGTTCCGCGGCCCTGGGCACCGAGCGGCACTGGCCGGGACGTCGCCCGGGTTCGCTCACGGGCCCGGCCCGGAGACACCAGACGCCCGCTCGCGCCGCCCGCCACCGTTCGGCGAGCACCCACCTCCCCGGGGCACGACTTCCGCCATTTGCTTGGCCCCGCCCTCTGGGGCGGGGCCGAGGCTCGGCCCGACCACTCCTCGAGGGGCGTGGGGGAGACGCCGAGCAGCAGCGCCGTCCCGCCCGAGCGCTGACGCTCACGCTGCGCCCGCTCCCCACCCCCTCCCCTGCCGCCTCGCGTGGTGCTGTCCGTTCGCAGTCGCGCTGCTGCGGGCCCGGCCTGGTCCCCGCCCAGGTGAAGCGGCCGGCTTCCCCGAGGAAGTGAGGATCGGCCGGGCGGCTGCAGGAAGGATGCGGAGCTGGGGTCGCCTCATCCTTGTCCTTCTGGCCGCGGCGGTCGCGGGCGCCTCAGCGCAGCACGCGCCACCGGTGAGTGAGCTGGAGCCGCGGACGCAGGCGCGGGCGGGGTGTCCGCGCGGCAGCGGCGTCCGTGCGGGATCCGCGCGGACGTTTGCGCGCTGTGAGTTCCAGCCTGCCGGTGACGCCGGCCCCAGTGAACCCGGTGCTCGCTGGAGCAAGAGCGCCTCTTCGGGGAGCCTGCGCCCCGCAGAGTGCCGGGTGACCCGCGCGCCCGCGGTCGCGGCGGCAGTGTTGGAATAGCAGTTCCCGGCTGTCGGCTGGAGCGCTCGGGGAACTTTCCGCCGACCTTTGCGTAGTCCTCGAGCGCCGGACTGCTTGGCGACTCGGGCTTTCTCAGCCTGCTGACCGGTTGCTTCTCCGGGCGAGGATGCCCCGGGGAGCGGCCTGTCCCAAGTCGGCTAGAGCTGAGCAGCTGGGGCCGCCGCTCCGCACCCCGGGTCACGGGAGCGCAGCCGCGTGGCTCCTTCCCACCCGCCGGTCACGGGGCTCAGACTGGGTGACCAAAGAGACGCTGAGGGACCAGAGTCTTACTTAAGAAAAGAGGAAGCAGACCTACAGGGAGCAAATCTGTAGCCAGAGGCCACGCTATTGTCCCCTGCACCATCGCTGAACTCAGGCCTCGTGACGCTCAGTCTGGCGAGATTTCCTAATTCATTTCTTTCAGAGCAATAAAAGTCTGTGCTTTTCTTTGCCAGCAGATGACTAGAAACCTGGGCGCATCTGACCAGAGGCTAGGTGAGAATGATGCAAGTGGGAGCATGATGTATCATCTCCTTATTCTTTTATTCCTGTGAGGAGAAATGCTTTAAGGATAAAACCACGATGGAAGATTATTTAGTCACTGAAAATTGATAGAATATTTAGCAGATAAAAGCAGCACATAATAGTGATTTCGGTAATAGAAAAATGCATAATATCATGTACATTTCGACAAGGATTGAAAGATTATAAAGAAAAATCAATTAGTTTGCCTTGGTATAGGTAGGGAATTAATTCGCTTGAAAGTGGTTTAAAGAATTTAATGTTATTCATACTGTCAATTCAGAGACCATCAGGAACACACTAGTAGTTGAACAAATTGGATGTATTGTTCTATGAGCTGAGAATGCACACCATGGGCAATCATGGGTTCAAACAAACGTATTACAGAATTTGCACTTTGTTTGTGTGATTTGAGGGTGAGACTAAGGAACCTGAAGTTTCCTGCTGATTGGGTGCTTTTAGAGAGTGGGGCAATTCTTGAGGAAAGCAAGTCATTCATTGAGCAAGAAAGAGGGAGTGTTGGGTAACTGGTGGGTTGCAACTTGACCTTGTTTTTCACGAAATCATGAAGCAGCCTGGCTTTGTCTTATTAGGTCTCCTGTAAGCGTACCTGAGTTAGGTAGTCTATGAGAATGTATTATATTTAGGAGCAGGATAGAAGCAACCCAGGTAGGAGTCAGACAACTTGTAATCATACTGAGCTTTAGCTGTGAACCCCAAGGCAGTTTCAAATGTCACAGAATGCTTCTTTTTTGTTTATTTTCTGAAAGTAAAAGTATTTCTATTAAAAAAAAAAAAAAAACAACTCAACAAGAAGAATCAACAGCCCTTCAATACATTTTGTAGTTCTTAACTAGATTGGTTATTAAAATCTTTTCTAGCCACTTGTGTCAGATTGGAAAGCTGTCTTCATAGGACTTCAGTGAAATGAGAAAAATAAGAATATAAACTAAAATCATTCATTTAGAATGTTAGCCTGATTCTGATTTTATGAACTTCCAGGGTTTTGTGGCTACTATTGTTAAAATGTTCTTTCTGGAAAGACAGGTAGATGTTATGTGTGTGATTTGTTTTCTTTCAATAAAGATCTTCGCGTGGCAGAATGAAAATTGGGACCATCTTGTGCTGGGGCTTTGCTAATTTTTTTTTAATGGTCTGGAAAGTGCTGGGTCCTGCTCATCAAAAGGACCTTTGGAACTGCATCGAAGTGTAGTGCCTTCCATAGTGCGAAGTTCCTGCTGTAAACTTCACTAATTACCACCAGGTCATCTGTTTCCAGTAATCTTGTCTATCGTGCAGCGTTTCCCCCCTCACTATCAAAGCATCCAGAATTAGTAAAACTGCCACCAGCTAAGGAAATCATCCGGTCTTACCAGACACATAGTGAACAGAGTACTACTCAGTGTTTTGAGTATGGTTTGCCTGATCACAGCACCTTCCCTTTATGTTCACTGGAAAATGTCTGTAGTCTTAACTGTTCTAATTTAGCAGTAATAATTTTTAAATCTACTAAAATTCTGCTATTGAAAAGATAGAGTCACTAAGGATTTTCAATGATCTTGATCGTCCAAGCACTTGTAGTCTCATGCCCAGAATTTATCACTATTTTAAATTAAGCATTGTGTAGAATGACAGCATAAAACCATTATAGGAGATGCCTGAAAAAGTTAGCGTAAGATTAAGAGTAAATAATTTAACTCTTGGTTTCACTGCCTACAGAGTAGGTAAGAACTGTGCCACCCATGGAAATCTTTATATAAGGCAGCAATGAAATTAAATAAGGCAAAATATGTAAAAGTATTTTAGGTTCTAAAGAGATAAGCTCTTGAAGCACAAGACTATTTGTAACCCAAATTATCAGCAGTCACTTTACAATTGTCTTTATACTCATATTGCTTATCACTATAGAAATTTGTTTACCCATTTAAATCCATTTTTAAAAACTGAACATCTAATTTATTTTATTGTTTTAATCTTTGGAAACAAAAAAATGTGTATTTTGTTCAAAAACCAGTTAAGTGTCTTCAATCTCTGACAAGAATAAGTTGGTTTTGGTTTGAATTAGTATATAATAAACTGTAGCCTCATGGTAGTAAAAAAATGTTTCAGTACAACTTTTGATAAATACAAATGATGGGACCCAGCTTTAAATGACAGATTATCTGATTTAGAACATTTGTAGGTATTTTGTGTGTGTGAGTTTGAAGCTTTGCTAATATGTATATCTTGAGGTTGTCCTGACTTATTCTTCATTATTGAATCTATGAAGATCCTCGTAAGAGATGATGGGGACAGGAGACACCTAAGAAAAGCAGGAATAGGAATTCTAGATGCTAGTGGCCAGGGTTCTGTGGAACCTATGAAGGATTGCGGAAAGTATCCTAAAAACAAGGAGAAACTATTAGGTAGCTCTGAATAAGATAAAAATTCAATGTGAGATAAAAATTTAATTAAAATTACATTTAAAAAAACCACTGGATTGGAGGGGTGTAAGAGTGGGCATGTGTAGCTAGAAGGAAATTAGTCCAGAGGACAAATTAGGACCCATTAAAGGAAGAAGGCAAGTTGACGGTATACCTCAGTGGTAGATTACGCTTAGCTGGAGTGAGGCCTTGGGTTCAGTCCCCAATAACAAAATCAAGAAATGAAAGAGGGTGACACCAGTTCAAGGGAGAGATGTAGGTGTTTTCAGAGTAGGTGTAATCAGGAGACAGAGTGAGCAGAGGGAAAGACTGATCAAAGGTGAGGAAGGGAGGTGTCAGCATGTGAGGGGGTGGAGATTAAGGTTGATTGAGATTGGTTAAGATTGATGAAATGATATGAAGCCATTGGAGCAGATGAACGTTCCTAGAAAGAGGATATAGAAAGAGAAAGGACAACCTAGGCAGAGAGTAAGTAACTTGCACAGGTATGGTAAAGAGGAAACTGGCAAAGTTACAGTGGCAGTCCAAATGGGAGAGGAAGTTTGACAAGGATGCCCAGGCAAGACAGTGGGATGAATTACCTATATAGCTGAATATATTGAGATATGAGGTGTCCATCTCAGTACTGGATATACTGAATCATCTGGAGGTTATTAGGTCATCTTAACAACTGGAAGTCATTGGGTCATCTTTGCTGGAAAAGTGTTGGTGATAGAAAATAGATTATAGTAAGATTAGTAGCAGTCAATCAGAAGGAAAGGAACTGGAGTGAGAGAGTTGGCTGTTCTCAGAAATAAATGTGAGATGATCTGTAAGATATGTGAGAATGAAACATAATGGCTTAGTAATGAAAAGGCTTCAGCTTCGCATAGGAGAGGTTAGCACTGTTGACAGTAGCTAATGAATCATCTTGAGCAGTGATTTTTCAGTTTCATAGGATCTCATAAATCCTTTTTGGCTTCACCAGGGCTTTCATACTGCATGGGCTTTTCCTCAGTGCTACAGAGAGAGGAACACACAAGTACAGTATAGCCTGCTCACTTATTCAGCTAAGTTTGCATGCCTTCCACATGCCAGACCCCATTCCAAGTACTACCAGTCAGTCAGACAGAAAGGCACTGCCCTCTTGGAGGATTTCTTCCCATTCCTTTTATCTGAATATCAGCAGTTTAACAGGTGCCATCTCATCAAACTGAGAGACATCTGAAAATATTTCCATGCTCATCTGAATTTTATATGCAAGACACATGCCATTTCTTATTAGATGTATGTCTGCTTAGTTTTAGGTGGAAACTAAAGTTGCTAAAATTGTTTAACTTCTTTTCTTATAAGTATGACAACTGAGGTGAGCCATATAATTTCTTTGAGTTACTTCTCATTCTTTTTCTGACTATAAGAATAAAACAAGCACACTGGGCTCTCTGAACTTTTTCGTATATTATTAGGAACATACACTTCATTGAGGATCTCACTAATTTTGTTTTTTTTTTGGTTTTTCTCCAGTACCAGGAACCGAACTCACGACCTTGCTCTTGCCAGGCAGGCGCTTTTTGCCGCTGAGCTAAATCTCCAGCCCAGATGTCACTAATTCTATTGGAGTCAAATACTTGGAGGAACTGGACAAGTTAGTTTTTTTTTTAGGGTGTGGAGCATTCACTGAGTCCTTTATGAAATACTTTTCACTTTGTTATTTTCCTCAGTATGTTATAATAAGTAGTTCTATAATTAGTTTTTTTAATGAGTTGGGAGAACATAAAGATTGATTCATTCCAACAAAGTTTAACTTCCTATCAGATAATCAGAATAATTGGAGAATTCATGGAC